TTTCTCCACGGCTTACGTCCCAGTGTCTATAATAAGACCTGAGACATGCTAACTGCTTCAACACAAGTTTTTAAACGTAAAACAAATAATAAAATTTCATGTAAAATAAAGGTGTAGGCCTGTGAAGTGAAAAGCAGCGTTATGAATGTGATCTGCCTGCGTTCTTGCTCAGGGTTATTTCTTTCTCTCAGATTTTCTGGCATGAGACTAAGATCCTTCAGTTGAGATCAGCACGGCAGTTTCTCAGCCCTCTGGGGGCTAAGGTGCAAATTTGTCGAATGACGGCTTGGATCGCACAGTTTTCCTGCCGACCCGTTTACGGTGGAATTCACGACCAAGCTACAGCAAGACAAGGTACAGCTGCCCTCCTCACACACTTAAAGGTGGAATCACAGAAACACTTTTTAACCGAAAAAAAAAAAAGCATCGCCTCCCTCCACCTCAGCAGGCCTTAGTCTGACAAAAGCGTGCACCACCAGCTGCCCTCCTCACACACTTAAAGGTGGAATCACAGAAACACTTTTTAACAGAAAAAAAAAAAGGCATCGCCTGCCTTCACCTTAGCAGGCCTTAGTCTGACCAAAGCGTTGACCACTAACTATGAAACTATAACTTACATTTGATAAATTATAACCCATAAAATATAAGGTTACGACACATTGCATAAAAAACTGATTAAATACAATAAATATTGCCAAGTAGTTAGAGAGTCAGGCTGGTTGCCAAAGGATTGCCGGTGTGAATCCCGCTCGTCTGTGGTGTGAAATAGATGGATGGATGGATGGATGGATGGAAGGATGGATGGATGGATAGATGGATAGATGGATGGAAGGATGGATGGATGGAAGGATGGATGGAAGGATGGATGGATGGAAGGATGGAAGGATGCAAGCATGGATGGATGGAAGGATAGATGGATGGATGGATGGATGGATGGTTGGATGAATGGATGGATGGATGGATGGATGGATGAATGGATGGATGGATGGATGGATAGCACTTTATTAATCCCTCGGGAGTTCCCTTCGGGAAATTTAGGCTAGGTTTAACGTAGAGCGCACATTTTATTGTGTGTCAATGATTCTGTGTGAAGTTGAAGAAATGCTACATAATTAGGCCGTGAATAAAATGCTGCTGTTGGTCAATGAAAAGCAGCACGAAATCACGACCAAAGTTGTAAAAAACCAAAGCAGTAAATGTATAATTCCATGATCAACAGTGTGTTGTTTGTTCTCATGCTCCTGGTGAAGTGAAACAACACATTTGAAAATGTTTTCATTGTGTGGTTTGAGGGAAAAAAATAAATAAATAATCAAGGCTGTTAAAACATACTGTTCATATTTGGATCAAACAACTTTAATTTATAATGAAAACAATTATAATTCATATATTTGGATCAAACAACAATTTATAATGAAAACAATTATAATTCAACCCATTTTACCAGTTAACCACAAGTTTGGTGACTTGAAAGATTGAAAAATTTGAAAAAGCGAAATATGCCAGAGCTGGGAGTAAAAGTAACCGTGGGAACCGTGGGGTTTTTGTTTTCTCCTTCTGAACATCCCAGAGAGATTTAAACTGAATTTCAGAAACACGTCTAAAAAGTTCCAATTTTGCAAGTATGAAACGGAAAACAAGGGGATCCGTTACATTTATTATATTTTTTTCTACAGGAAAAAGACAAAACATCTATATAAATATACGTTTTGGGTCGATGATGAAACTGTGACAGGACTCTAATGTCTCTCTGCACTGGACTGTATCTCAGTAAAACAAGCCTGAGTTTAATTAAGCCAAGCCACACCGCTTGTGATCCAACATTACCGTTTGCGTTGGCAGAACTGAGGGAAACCTATTTACCAAAGGCAACAAAGACAGTTTTATACGAGCGCAGGGGAAGTCGACTGCAAGGATAATATTTGAAAATTGTTTTATTTGATTTCTGTGTTTGTTGAGTGTAATTTTTGAGCTCCTCTGCGGCATATTTAGCATCAAACGTGTGGGTGTGTGGCCCAACAGTCAGACGGCAGCCAGCCCGAGGTTTTTTAGTTTGGTTGCCCTGGAAGAACCAGCTTAGGCCTGATTACTGCAGCGGAAGAGTTCTCAAGTTGAGAAGATTAGCAGAAACCACAGAGAGAGGAGAGGGGAGGGGGAGAGAGGAGAGAAGATGGGATGGAGGGGAGGGGAGGAGACGAAACGGTTAGAAGACGAAAGGAGAGGAGAGGAAGGGAGAGAAGATGGGAAGGATGGGGAGGGAAGGGGAGGGAAGGAGACGAGAGGAGCAGAGAGGAGAGAGGAGGGAGAGAGAGGAGAGAAGATGGGATGGGATGGGAGGGAAGGGGAGGGTAGGGAGACGAGAGGAGCAGAGAGGAGAGGAGATTCACATTATCTGTATTAAGAAAGTACCTGAAAAAGCTTAGAATGTTAATAAACTCAAATTATTATAACAGTGAGTGTCTAACTGATTATCTATAATATATACTATGTCTATACATATATTATATGTATATATATATTATAAATATTCAATTAAAAACATTCAGTCTGGTTTTAAATGGACACATTTGGATCCACAGTGAAGGTGAATTCACCTTAGATCTCGTTTAGATCCAGATAGAAGCCCTTTTTTTTTCTTCTTCTTCTTTTTTTTTTCCTGGAGACTGAATGAGCGCAGTCTTCAGCTCTTAAGAGCCCTCTTCACTCTGAGTACAGGCTGCTTCAGTCACAACACTATAGAAACAAGTGTTCACATAAAATTGCTAACAAATGTCCCCGGATGTGATCAAGGCATCAACGGACAAATAATAATCTCACCAACACTGACATAACGTGCGTTGTATGTTATCAGGCCGACAGAAGAGCGGCGCTAAATTCCCACGTGTGTCGTACAAATGTAAAAACGCAAAGATTTAAGTGCAGCAGACGGAGCTAAAACGAGACTATGCCGCCCTGTAATCACATCGCTCTGGACGTTCTCAGCAGCACACGGTGCTAACAAGCACACCACACACCAACGCAGCGGGAAGAGTTGGCGATACCTCTCATCTCGTCTGCTCCTAGTGACACAGCATGTGATTGCGTTAGCCGAGCGCGGCCACGGCTAATAAAAGCGGATGAGAAATGCATTAGTCCACAGGCAGGCTCCCCGCGTTGGCCTGGACGCTGCTAAAGTTGACCATGTAATTGAGAAGAAAAAAAAAAAAACACAAGTCAGTCCTGCAGTCACGGAGGACAAATAGGCTGTTAATAAAAACGCGCTTACACAGTGCTGCCTCTGTGTCTTCAGCACGTGGTGCAAAAAAAGGAAAAAAGAAAAAGAGAGGCCTGTCGTTCACAAGTGGTGCTATTTCTGTTCACCACAAGGCTGCAAATATTCTATCATTAAGGAAACAAGCAAGAAAAGGAAATACCACTGTGGACACGTGGGCTGTATGAGCCCTCTAACCACCCTAACTAACAGGGTGGATAAGTGGTGAAAAGACTGTAATGATACTGGTGGCAGCTCTGGTTTTTTTATTTACTATGTCTATTTAAAACTGAAACCCAAGCTGTGATCTTAGAAAAAGTTCACATCGTAACGACCCTGGTCACCTGACCAGTGTAGACCCTGTCTGTACGGCCTGTCCTCAGTCACCCGTTGGAGAAAACCTCAACATGAATCGCTAGCTAGCGATAGCAATTTCGCTAGTCTAGAGATTTTTGGGGGAAGTTGATTTACGGATTTTACAGCTAACAGCTGAGAACCAGAACTACTGCACGATCAAACTGCGCACCAAAAGCAGCAAGTACTCTGCATAATACTGAAAAGAACAGATGAAGTCATTCACATCATTGTCCACCATGTCCCCAAGGTCCAGGGCGGGTACAGAGGGACTTTTCCCAATATTTGTTTGAGTCCAGTGAAACGTGATTAGGAAAACTAACTGACGATACCAACTCTTTAACTTTTCGTAATTCTACTTGTCAGCGTTTGTTGTTTTGGTACCTGCTGTCGCATGTACCACGCGTTGTCACACAACTGGCACATTTTCTGAGGCTGCAGGAACATTATAGTGCCAATGCAAATGATGTGTGTTCAAAACAGCCTCCACACTGGAGGTGATTCTTCCTCCTCCGGCGTGACTGTGCCGTACCTCTGTGGTTAGCTGCACGGTGTGTGATGCTTCCGAGGGCCTCGGAGGCTCAACACAGCGTTTTGCAGCAGATGTAAAGACGTATCAGACACATCCAAATTAGCCAGAGGGGACAGAGACAGGTGGGTGGACATACTGCCACACAGCCTTTCATTGTAGACACACTTTAAAAAAAAAAAAGGAAAAAGAAAAATGAAAACAACCCATGGGGTGAGGTAGCAAAGCAGAGGGGAGTAAAATCTGAAATTCGGCAGCTTTATATTTAAACAGTCAAACTCACATCAAGGATCAATAAATCCCAGCTGCAGTTGTTTATCCTGCAGGCCGCGGCAGATGTTGATGACCTCTATTTTAACGTGATGTTCTGAAGTCAACTTTCTGACATTCTTAGACAGTGTTGTTTGAATTTTTCTATGATATATTATATGAGATAGTAGTACTTACCGAAATTACCAATATGAAATAGTCAACACGCAAGAATAATTTCAAATTACAAAAAAAAAACTTTCGGCATTTATTTCAAATCATAAAATGTTAAATAGTGAGTCGATGGACCAAATTTTAGAAATATATTCATATTTTAACTATTTAATTTTTCATCAAACATCGATCATGATTTTTTTTAAATGATTTTAGAAAATTTAAGGAAATGCCAATTTTACAATATTTCTGTTAAAAATATTTAACATCATGTCTTAACTTATATTTTAAATCTAGGATAGAAAACAGCAGCGTCATGCCTTAAGATTTGCGATCGTATCGGCCAGTGAAGGCTTTAGTCAACGCTGTGTTGCAACTTCACCGAACAAAAACATAAAGTGAAATCCATTCTTGACTCACACACAGTAGTGCAGTAACACTGACCTGTGATCATTTGGACCAATGAGTGAAGCCAAGTCAAGTTTCCATGGAGCGGTTTCACCGTAACATCGAGGATATCTGCTAAGACGTCAAGAAGTGGGAAGTTCTTTGTCCCAGGCTCGGGCTGCTCTCTGCAGTCTGACAGGATGACAGGTTAACTATGACCTGATTACCTGTCCCCTGAAGCCTATAACCACCAGAGCCAGCAGACACTCACCACGGGTCTGGTGACAGGGAGGATAATTGAAGGTGACGCGACATGCAGCTAGCTCAGCTAATGAAATATAAAACACAAAGAGCTGGAATAATGCAGCAGAGCATCGGGGATGTCTAAACAAAGAGACCAACTACTTTTCCCACTTTACCAATCATTTTACCACTTTGGTGTGATCTACGTTAAAAAAACAGAATATAGAAGATTAAAGTTAAGGACATAATGCCATTGCTTGTTTTTTTTCTTTCTCTTTTGTCTCTTATTATCATACATATTTACCAATGAAATACTCTATGTGAAATTCTAGAATTTGTGTTTATACCACTATGGTCTATGCCAGTGTTTCCCAACCTTTCTTGAGCCACAGCACATATTTTACATTAGAAAAATATCACATGGTTCATGACCAACCACAAATGTAATTAAAATATACCTAATAAAATTCAAGATTCAATTTACTCAGTGTGAAACTTGGTCCTATTTAGTTGAACACAGCGCTGACATACTCACAGGAATTGAAGAAAACCACACTTAAATATCTTGTTCGACAGCTCTTTGATCATTTTCTTTGGTAGATCTGATGATCGATCAAGTCACACTAACGTGCCAGCGTTCAGTGGTTTGGAATCACTGGTCTATGCTTTACTTTAATACCACAACATTAGTTTTTTATGACATTTTTATGTCAGCAGAATATGAGAACGCTGTAATGCACATACAAAACACCATTCAATAACGTTTATGGGCTCTTGAAATACGCCAACAGATATTAGAGTACTCACACATTGTTGTGTATTGTATACTTATGTGAGATTAACACATCTATATACCAGGCACGGGCACTGATATTGGGGGAAACTGTGTTTAGTAGGGCGGGGGGGGGGGGGGGGGGGGGGGCTGAAACAACAGGCTTTCAGTTTGGAAAAACTGAACCTGGTCTCACTTGAACGTTTACAAGGTGCCTAACGATTTGGAAGCATTTTCACGAGGCTTTTCTATTGGTCTACATACTGGTTTTTTATGATTAAAACTGCTGAAAATGTACTTTTTTTCTGTCTTCTTTTAGGACCAAATGATTGTCTAACACAGACTCTACATGTAAAAATTAACAAAAATTACAGTTTCACAGTGATATTACAGACGAGCACAGACAATCAAAACTACTGTACAGGTCTAAGTAGAACAGACAAAAGTTCAATTTTTAACATTAAAAATACGGTTACGGTAAAAATGTAATTTTGTTGTCACGATATTCCTCTGATTGTAACCCTTGTGGTTTATGGACCATATAACCATGTAGGAGAAATAGAAACTATGGTATTGTGAAACAAAACCACACCAACAAAGCAGACGTTAGGTTCTAAAACAGCATCGAGTGGACTGGTGTTTAACTTTAGCGAGAGTAGGCGTACTAAAAGTGACCCGTAGGGGTCGTCTCTGTGCTTTCTTGAGCTGCCAGACCGGACTGTACTGTACTACTGTGACGTTAGCCTGTGCTAGCCGACTCTCAGCAACCGCTGATTAAGTCCAGCCTGACGGTCCCTTTAAATTCAAATAAATAAAAAAAACCAGAGACAAACATAAACATAAACATAAACAGTAGACAAACAGCCACGCACACACACACACAGACCAAACTTAACCGTTCAGTTCGTCGTCACTGTTTTTGATATTTAGAAAAGTACAGTGCGAGCGCGAGCAACAGTTTAAAAACAACAATGTAACGTGGTGACGATAAGATAATGCCGTGCACTGTAAAGTGTCCCCTCCCTGTCAGACTGTAACACACACACACACACAGTTGGAGAGAGAGAGAAAAGCCACTTTTCACCCTCACCCTCACCCTCACCTCTGCCTCGCCGCTCTGTCCTCCACCTGCTGCTTCTCTGTAAGGCGACAGCCGCTGTGTTCATCAAGGAGACCCTTCGTCAGAGACACACGCACAGAACAGACACAACAGCCTGGTCCGTTATGTTTGACAAACTGACAAAGTCACAGTGAGCAGCACAGAGCTGAGGCTCCACCCACCAGAGAGAGAGAGGGGGGAGGAGGGGGAGGGAGGGAACGAGAGAGACGGAGAGACAGAGAGGGAGGGGCAGCCGGCCACTACTGCAAGGTTTTTATGAAGGTCAACAAAGGTCAAGATATGGTTAAGGATTAACCCCGGGTTCGTACTAAGAGTTGGGTTTTATTTTGGGTTTTAAGTCTCATAGTTTGGGTTTGTTTGAGCAGCTGTGGAGTTCATGACTTTTTGTCTTAGACCTGATCCAGAGAGAGGTCACAGTCAAGAAAGGGAAACATGGGATTTTTTTGTTTTGTTTTTGTTTGTTTTTTGTGTGAGAGCAACGTCCTGCAATGAAAAAACAAACAAACGTATTGGATGGATGGATGGATGGATGGATGGATGG